TAAATCATTTTATTTCTTTTTGCTGCTCAATCTACAGTACTTTATTTCTACTGTATTTCTTTTTGAGGGGGTGTATTTAAAGAATGCCACATTGGGTTCAAAAGGAGGCTAGCCCCGCCCCCCCCCCCCCCCCCCCCCCCCCCCCCGCCATTAAAAAAAAAAACATTGTCCAGCAGGAATTACAATTGAATTGATTCATTCTTGAGTGTCGCTCAGTAGTAACCATGTAAAACATTATGGCATTTTTCTGGAGATCATCTTTATATAGCGTATAGTAAAAGATAAAGATCACTCCAGATTTCTTCTTCTCAAATACTTTAAATGGCATGACTGACTTGAATAAGAACTATAAGAAGACTACAGCTTTAATGATAACCTGTGCACCTAAACATATACATGTAGTATCCCTGAAATAACTAGATGATCTGACAGAGCCTCTCAATGCAATTTAGATTAGCATCCCGCATGTTTACCCAGCATGCTCGCTGAGAGTAGCATGCAGCAAGCGACCTCTAAGTAGACATTGTAGAAGTGTCAAGTTGTGTTAATTGGTCGGGTGGCCCTCACAATCACACACAATGACCCTGTTTACATAGCAAAGGAGGGTGACTTCTTAAAGAAGTCTTCTGCCCGATGGGACAGTATTTCTTTCATTACTATATATCTTGAATTCTGCTGTTCAGGAAATTTCATTTTTTAAGACAAACTGTCTAAAAGGTACTTTATCAAGGATAACATCTTTTGGTTGGGAAGCCCCTCAAATCAGACATAATGTTATTACCCTTTTAAAAGGATCGTTTAACAACGTTAAATCTGAGATAAACGGGCCCTACATGTTATCATTGTCAAAAGGGAAATAACATTGTGTCTGATGTTAGGGGCTTCCCAACCAAAAAGGAGAGGTGAGTTTCACAGATGTCTTCTGCCACAAGCAGGTTGAACCTTTCTTTACTGTAGCTTATAATTGATTTAAAGATTCCATCTGGAGAACCTAGTTCATAAATAAATTGTTTATTTCTGAGTATTTTTAGTTTGGTGACCCTGACAAGTTGGAAGAATTGATAATCGGACAGAGCCTCCCAATGCAAAAACAAGGTGACTTCCGATGTGTCTTCAGGCTCAAGCACATTGAACTTGTCTTAATGCAACAGTAATCTTTTTAAAAGTAATCTGAGTCCTTGTTATGGAATGCTATCCTTGGAGAAACTGGCTGAAAGAACATCATAATGCAAAATCATATATTAGGGAAAGAATCATCGTACAGTATGAGCTACTGATGCATCCAACATAATAGCATGAAGCCTTGAAGCATGCACAGACACAAGCTCCCAACAATGATACTTTTAAAAACAAACTTTGTTCCCTTTTCCCCTAAAATGCCTCAAATAATAGATCCAAAAATACAAACTCCAATTATAGCAAGTCTTTTAATGATGGAGGATTCCTAATGATCAGATTAATGAGTAGAACCACCGGAGAGAAAGCTGTAAGGGATGACTTCCTAAAATCTAATTTTAAAACCACCTACTCAATTTCCGGCTTATTAGCCTAGGGGCCTATAGGGTACACATTCACTCTCCTTCACAATATTCCACTCCCTTGCACAGCATTCCTACATGTATCAAGGAGGATATTACAATCTTCTTGCATGTACATGTAGTACCTACATGTACAGTATCTACTACCGGGACTCTACATTTCTAAATGCACATTACATACCTGTATAAGCCCACATCTCATACTGTACATCTCATTAAAAAAAAAAATCAAATTAGCATTTCACATCATTTTTTTCAGGAGAATAAACATATTGTTGAGTACTGATTCTTGTTTTGTCTAAGTATCGATTGTAACAGTAAATTCATTATTTTTTGTTTTGTTACGTTCTATAAACTGATTTGTAACAAAATACTTTGTTTAGCTGTTTAAGGGGTTAGGCTCGACTAGCACATGTGCTATTATCTGGCCCCTTTTACCAACCAATAGTTTCTCTTTCTGTATATGTAATTATTGTATAAAATGTATGGAATGTATTGCTGTTGGTAAATAAATCAAATCAAATCAAATCAATCAATCAAATATTGGACCCAAAGGAAATTTGGGCTAAGCTATTGATGACTATACTATTACTGTGCATGTACGGTATGTACATGTATGTGCCTACATGTATAGACATGTACAGTATGTATAGGTATTAAAATGTTGAATGTTCCAAGTGTATTTACGTTATTGCTTTAATAGTAAAGGAAGTTCTGATGTTTTTGAGTTCCTGTCAATCGTTGACGTACGTGCAGGCCTCTACGTGTATGTACAGTACTTAATCAGTATAAACACAACTTTAAAATAGACATAAGGAAGAGGAAAGAAAAGCAACTAGAATCCAGGTTTTAAACACATATTACTTCCTGAACCCCAAACTCTGCTCATCTTAACATGAATATATTTATTTGTCTTTATAGTAAATGTTCTTATAGTTACAGGCCTCATTTTTCCAACTAAAATCGGGTATTTCCACAATATTCACTTTTCTTTAGCAAAACCCCAGTTTGAGAAATACTACATCATATTACCATATATATTACCATATACATGTATATGGTCAGGCGGATACTTCATCAAATTTTTATTTTTAGTGATATCAGTTTTTCAAAAGTACATTTTTAGTGATATCAGTTTTTCTAAAGTACTTTTTCATACCATCAAATAAAGGGTCTACATGTAAATGTATACCAGAGATACAGTGCATCTCAATCCCAGGGAGTGTGGTGTTTTAGGCTATCTCAGGGGTCTTTGCCCTTTGTACTGCTAAATTTAGACTTTAATCTCTCAATTGGATTTGTTCTAAACTGTAGGCCTACAGGTTACGTGTGTAATAGAAACCTACGTATGTATAATTTGTTACACATGTATATAATTCACAAGCCGAGAATTCTCCTCAGATCTCGTTGCTCTCTTCACTAGCTTGATAGGTTTTAGAAACTAGAAAATTCTCTTTATCTGGAAAAGGATCTCTCTCTATGATTTTTAACTATTCTTTCTCATTCTCTTCTTTTGAATAATAGTTACATTCCTAAAAGTCTGGAGAGAAGCATTTACTTTAGTAATTAAGGCTGTGCACAACAGTGTAATGAGGTACCCGAGTACACTCCCAGGCTTACAAGCGAATACTCAAATATTCGGACGCCATGTTTTCTTTGAATTTTTTTGAATTTTTTGATTTTTTATAATTTGTTTTTCCTTTTTTTCTTTTTTTGCCACCACCATACCTCTGGTGCAGTATCCCAGTATCGCTGAAAACGCATGCAATTTTACTTTGAGTTGCGGTTGAAGGCGCCGATTTAATAATCATAATAACAGTGAACAATGCTGTTTTAAAAACAAAAGATGGCAGAATAATCCATTGTCCTCCGAGTCTAAACAGAAATCTGGACATTTGGTCCCAGTTTCTGAGTGGTGAGTTTGACAGTTCTTGAGTTGGGGAAACATTTTTACCGACGGTACCATGCCAGCGGCCGCCCCTCTATCTGGCATGGGTAAGGGTCGGCCTGGACAATTTTTGTTTTTTTTTTGTTTTTTACGACCGAATATTCGGGTACGAGAAATTGTACCCGAGTAGTTGTCAACCGTGCGGGTACTCGAGCATTCGACTGCCCCTCGCAGCCTTATTAGTAATTCTTCATCTAAAAATAATGAAAAGAATGGAATAGCTACCCGCATCATCAGTACAAATTTCTTGTGTGATCCATTCAAGGGTTATGAATGCAGGTCCAACTCTATGGCTACCATCACCAGAACATTGCACATTATTAAATGCATATGGAATTAACTCCATACATTAAATATACAGGTGTATTTGTATAATGAATTAAGAATGAATAACTACATGTAAATGTAAATGATGCAACTTTGAAAATTTCAGACTATTTCTTCAGTAATGCAACCAAAATCATACTTTACAAAATGATTTGGCTTTATACATGTACATGTACGTACAATGTACCCTGTTTGATAAAACTGTGAATAGAAAGTAAGATTGTCCGTCCAATTTATGGCTAGCGCATGCAGTCCTTTAATCCAATCTAAGGACACAACATGAAATCCTTGCTTTGTAATGTTACTCTGAGTACCGTATTTACCGGCGTAAAGGCCGCACCGCCGTATAGGCCGCACCCCCGATTTTGACATTTAAAAAAAAAATTAAAAAAAAAAAAAAAAAAAAAAAAAAAAAAAAAAAAAAAAAAAATCGTTTTTTTTTTTTTTTTTTTTTTGGTTGTTGTTGATGTTTTGTTGCCGAAAACCCACGCGGGGAAGGACCTTCATTTAACATCGAAGTACAGTTAAAGGCGCTGATTTGTGCTTGTAAACTTGTCACAAATAATAGTAACAATGTCGTTTTTAGAAGAATGTGTAAGATCATTAATGTAAATTAAACACAATAGAGTACCTATGGTACCAATGGTGTACCTTGTGGTACACCATTTGTTATAGAAAAAAAATTGAGGAATTATTATTATAAACTACATATTGAGATCTGTTAGAAAGATTACTTTCAAACAAAGATGACAGACAAATTTGAGTGTTGTTGTAGTTTCCGAGTGGTGAGTCAACACACTGATTACTGAGCTGGAAGACATTGCCAGGCATAGCGCCATAAATAAAATTAAAAAAAAAAAAAAAAAAAAAAAAAAAAAAAAAAAAAATCATTTTTTACTCTTTCGCCGCATAGGCCGCACCCCGACTTTTTGATATTTTCTCTTCCAAAAATACTGCGGCCTATACGCCGGCAAATACGGTAAATGTACCTTTACTTTAATAACAAATCACATTTTGTATACAGTAAGAAGTATCAACAATTTGTGACACTGATTGGCATTTAATGTGCAATGCTCTGGCATTGATTGTATTCAGTCTTGATATATGGATCGACATTGCACATAATGTCTTACTATACTTGAGAAGATATTCCTACCACTATTTACCAAGAAGAATGAGGAATTTACTATGCTTGAGGGCTAGGGTTGCATTTCAATTCTACAGGTAGCCACCACTTGTGCATGAAGAGGAGATCTGGTTGGTAACGCTCCTCACGGTCGGTGCCTTCTTGTGGAAAGTTTCCTCTCTTAGCCAGGTGAATGGTCGTCATTTTGACCTCAGGGGAGGGTTGAATATTTATTTCATATTGCCTGAAGTATGCATCCCTAGTCTATGATTCATGCACGATACTTTTGAATACATCATTCTAGGTCCGTCTTAAATTGCAATTTTGAAAATTGGATGAATAGTAATTCTTTAAAATGTTAATATATTTGGATGCCCCTGTAGATGTATAAGCACTAGAAAATTTAGCCCCTAGAACACTTCTGCTTTCGAGAATGTTGAATAATCCAAATTTACTGGTGCTCCCAGTAAATTTCAATAATTTCAAATAGCGCCCAAGGCCATTCATTCCGTGGTAGCTGTGACCATGAAAATCTCAGAATATGCAGTTCTGATATATAATTTGCAAACAGAAATAGCAAATCGGTCGATTGAAGTCAAGAAACATTGTTTTAAAGCTAAAGTAATATCAGCCTTGAGAGGGAGCTATACAACATAAAGAGTTTATTATTTACAATTTCATCACTTTAGACTTGATTTCAACGATCATTGGATACATGTATTGTAAAATCGCAAATGCTTCCAATGTATTCATTTGAACCAAATTATTTTTTTCAAAATATACTTCCAAAAAGAATATCATCCATATTTACGATCAATAACCAAATTCATGCTCACAATACTCGGCTTTGCAACACATTTCATTTATGGAAAGTAAAAAGTTCATTTTCTAAAAAATCTGTAAGAAATTCTTTGCCCAACATATGGAACACTCTACTTCAAGTCCTCCGCTTATATAAAAACAGTTCAATATTTTTTTTTTAAATGAAACTGACCTTTTTGCCCCCCTCCAATTTTAAATTATTTCATACATGTTTTTGATTTTTTTTTGTCTTTACATTGTGTTTATCGCTGTATTTTGTGATATCTCGAACTCATATATGCTCAATAATATAAATGATATGAATTATAATATTTGGGGAACTTTTTATACGAAGCCACCATGGGCTTTTCCTTTGTTCTCCAATTTCATTTTAAACTATTGTAATAACTGACCATTCCTTGTATGTATATATACTTGTATGTTTATTTGCATTTGCTGTGTTTTTTTATGAAAATGAAATAAATAAACGAACTTGAACTTGAACTTGACCCCATACCCAAACTTTGTATTACCTTCAAGTGAAAAACTGTCAGATGTGCAAGTGTTAGCAAAGTTTAAATTTAGTTTTCAGGCCCAGCACAGCCGAAATGTATTCACTTCATTAATATGAAATATGTGCTTTACATGTACATACATGCTTCCATTCATACACACAGGAAATATACACGTGTCTGTAATTTTGAACTATATTAAAATGGGGGGGGGGGGTAAATCATAAATCTTCATAAGTAATTCATAAATATTTCATAGCTTCAATTTTAAGGGTTTGCCTTCTCTGCTACATGTTTTGTAGAAGATCTTGGCCTGAGAATATTGCTGAGGATTTTGTTTAACGCAACAAATAACATTTTGGTCGTTGACAGTAATCTCATAGCATCTGACGAACAATGGCAAAATCCGACCATTGATAGAAATGGCTCAAATAAATTCCAGTCATCAATTGAACTTTCATAGAACAGTATTAAAGAAAGGTCTGCGTCCACAGACTAGCAAAAAATAGAGGTCAGAGGTTGGATTATTCCAAATATGGAGAGTATTTGGGTTCTCTGATCTACCCTTGAACTTCTCGAATGTCAATAGAACTTTCACTCCCTTTACACTGTACAGTCTCTCCTTGGAGAAAGTGAATTGATCAGATGACAAACAGTACATGACAATGCATGAAATCTAGAAATAGCTAGGAGCCATAATTCTTACTACTGCAGTAGAACATGGTTCACCCGTACATACACTATGAGCAATGATACAAATCTATCACAGATACAAATCATACGAGTACAAGACTCTGCTGAGTATGTTGTGGTAGTGGTGTGGTAGTGGCGTTGTGGTCAAGTGGCTTCTCTAGGCGTGTCTGCACTATCTCGAGATTGCCAAATATCCAGCTATTTGAACTATCCCGATCGCAAACTATCCAGCTAATTTGCGTCTTCATTAGAACGAAGTAGCAAATTAGCTGGATAGTTGGTCGGGATAATATCCCAAGATATCTCAGTCTAGTTTGCGGTTTTCCGTGCTTACTCGAGGTCAGTGGTTGTACTAGCGCGCTGAGCGGTATAGATCGCATGTGCGAACCGGAAATCGTTGTGCATGATGGGATCGGGATATTTGACTCCGGACTTCGGTCTAATGAAGACGGTCGCAAACTATCCCGCTAGTTCGGAAATAGTGGGATATTTTGCAAACTAGACCGAGATATCTTGGGATATTATCCCGACCAACTATCCAGCTAATTTGCTACTTCGTTCTAATGAAGACGCAAATAGCTGGATAGTTTGCGATCGGGATAGTTCAAATAGCTGGATATTTGACAATCTCGAGATAGTGAAGACGGGCCTACTAGCTACTTGACTGGACTCTGGAGATGGGAAGGTGATGGGTTCTAGCCCTAGCACAGCACTAATGTTCTTTAGCAGGACATGAAATTTCATCTGCCAATCTCTACCCAGGTGTTAAATGGGTACATGTACAATGTACATGTACCTGTTGAGAGGAGTTCATTGGATGATGTGAGCACCACCAGGGGTATCCTAGCTACATAGAAATATCCAACATCAGTTTTCTCATTGTTGATACTAACACAAAATAAAATAAAATAAAACACCCTAAATAATATTCATGGATAACACTGGAAAAAAAGGGAATTACATTTTTTAATTTCTACAATGTAGTTCTGATGCATCGCGTGCATGTAAGATAAGACTGAACATGCATCTTCAGATTCAACATCCTACCAGTTTCAGGGAAAAAATGCACGGGGGCTCGGGCGAATTAGCCCCCGAAATGTCAAAAGAGCCCCTGAAAGTCATAAAAGAGCCCCTGAAAGTCATAAAAGAGCCCCCCAAAATTGCATAGAGTTCACTGCAAAACAAAATAAAGAGTGTTATTTTCATGCAAGCAAGCTTGAAAAGTAGCCCCCAAAATTCTTAAAGTACCGGTATTTTTTTCCCTGACCAGTATTCAGTAAACCATGGATATATAAAAGAACTCCATGTTATAACCATGACAGGACACTTGCATGGCAACAGAAATGACTCATAAAGCACATGTATTACAAATCATTATCTAGAACACTGCAATCAGCCTACCATGAACCAAAATCATCCCTGGGTTTTCAAAACTGCCACCTAGACCAACAGTAGCAGTTGTGAATTCTACAAGACCTTGATCAAAATGATTCATGCAGTGTCATACAGTGAGTGTGTATCGAGTGTGTGGGTGGATGTGAGGGTTTGAGAGAGAGTGTGTGCGAGAGAGAGAGAGTGAGAGGGTGCGGGTGTGTGTGGTGTCAATAGGCCCGTCTTCACTATCTCGAGATTGCCAAATATCCAGCTATTTGAACTATCCCGATCGCAAACTATCCAGCTATTTGCGTCTTCATTAGAACGAAGTAGCAAATTAGCTGGATAGTTGGTCGGGATAATATCCCAAGATATCTCGGTCTAGTTTGCAAAATATCCCACTATTTCCGAACTAGCGGGATAGTTTGCGACCGTCTTCATTAGACCGAAGTCCGGAGTCAAATATCCCGATCCCATCATGCACAACGATTTCCGGTTCGCACATGCGATCTATACCACTCAGCGCGCTAGTACAACCACTGACCTCGAGTAAGCACGGAAAACCGCAAACTAGACTGAGATATCTTGGGATATTATCCCGACCAACTATCCAGCTAATTTGCTACTTCGTTCTAATGAAGACGCAAATTAGCTGGATAGTTTGCGATCGGGATAGTTCAAATAGCTGGATATTTGGCAATCTCGAGATAGTGCAGACACGCCTATAGTGTCTGTGTGTTGAGTAATTTTTGCAATCAGTGAACTCATGGTGCCTATTGATTGCTAATTAGTCTATGCTTATTAAACAGTCTATCATAGGATGGTTTTAATTTAACTCAATTCAGATAGCCTTCACAATATTCATGACTGTGTACACAAACTCCAGAGAGTCAAAATAGTCTACCATCATAAACTCTATTGAAAATCATAATTGAATTCTTTTTTATTTGATTGAGACTCTTTAAGCAATTAAAATATGTAGGCTCACTCAATCAGATCTTTTCAAAAATACATGAAAGATGTGTATATTATACTGTAGCCCTGTTGTTGTTTTTACTCCAGTAAGTCTAACTTCCTTTAATATGGCCTAAAATGGACTTGGGGCATATAGATTTAGACTACATAATCTGCCAATGCCAGTACTGTAGATTCATAATCATTACAAAAAACAGATACACAGAAGACCTCACTCGAGGTTTGGTGTAATTAATTGCCATTAATAACTGCACTGATTAAAATTTTCTCTAGTTGTGTTCATACTTCAACAAATCAGCTAGAAAAATGATTTCTCTTAATACAGCTCGAATCTCAAAACACTAAATCTGGCATTATGATAGGGCTAATGGTTAAGGACGAGTATGAAGAAAATGAAAAGTAACAACTCCAAAGCATGGAACCCAAGCCAAACTTGCGTTCCAGACGGGCCTTATTCCAGAGAGGGCTAATATATGGGTCAACTATTCTACTCACAGATCACTTTTATCATATGCTTTAATAATTTAAATTTAGAATATTGAATTCTTGAATAGCAATGTGGACCCCTAACATATCAAGCAAAATAATTTCTTGTGACTGATGTACACTGTACATTTCAATCAACTTTTGTAAAGAACACAATGTTGAATTTTACCACTACATGTATGAATTTGTGTGGATTATTGACAAATGAGTTAACATTAAAGGTAATACAAAGTTTTGGTATGGGGTCATGAATTTGGTTACCGGTAAAATGAACATATTGGAAGCATATGCGATCCTACAATATTCAGTGATCGTTGTCACGTTTGACATCGATTCTTAAGTTATGAAATTATAAATAATAAA